GGTGTTGGGGGTGTGTGTGTGAAGCATTACTGGTGCAATAAGAAGAAACAAACATGTTATCAGAGAAATATCGTTGTGTAACAGCTTACTTGCTGCAAAAGCTCTGTTTCTGTGGAAAAAGGAGCCCACTTCAATATCGTCTCTAGATTGGACATGAAATGTTCCTTGCCTTGCAAATAATTCAACTTCTCAGCCGCTGTATTGAACTCATAATGAACCTGAAATAAAATAAATTACAGGAATCAAACACCACCACAAACCTAAAATCACAAGACAGTGAAACCCACAAAAATTTTAAATACCAATGGTGCATCGAAAAAGTTTCTGCCAACCCAACAATTTATAATGAAAAATTATTCCTTAATATGATAAGGTATTGTACTTTGATAAGGTATTATACTTTCGACTGTAATTATTTGATCAGATTAACTTCTGAGTCTAAAGGACGGAACATCAAGATAGGATCACTGATGAAGTACCATGGCATAACACACATTAGACAAGTAACAAATTTTCTGACGTCTCCAACTAAACCTCTTTTAATATTCATTTTAAAATACTTAGAAAGAAGACACAAAAAGCACCCTTTTAAAGTGATTTGGCGAAGAAACTCGCAGTTTCTTTTCAAAGTCGTTGACTTATATATACTTAAAATTCCAAGAGTCCAGAATATAGTAAAAAGTGTAGGGATATATCATCATCTCACAAAGAAAAATAGTACATATCATAAACCAGTTAAATACTGATTTTGTAAAAATAGAAAAAAAAAACCGTTGAAGATTGATATTTTATTTACTATAAAAATTATGAATATATGTTATATATGAAGCACAATTTACCAAATTACAAATAAAAAAACTAGAAGCAGTTCTAGCATTAGGTCTATCAGTCATTTATATGCACATACAAATTTATAATACTTCAACACATGGAGATGAAACGTTCAAAAGCAAATTTATAATATTTCAACACATGGAGATGAAACGTTCAAAAGTTTCTTTTGTAACTCACGGAATCCTTAGAAACATAGTTTAAAGAATATTCCACTGCTTTCTGTCAATGATGAAATCTTTTCTAACAAGTACCAAATTGGCCTTTTGAAATCTTAAATTTATTCGCACAAATAAGGAAAACATAAATAGTCATATAGATGAAATGGAATATAGTAGAAGTAAAATAGACCTACTAAATATCAAGTTTGGAGTGAAGCTCACCATAGGTACAGCTATTCTGTCTTTGCCTGTTTTTCTCAAGAATGTATAAGAGAGAAGACCAATGCTTTGAGTGAATATCCTGGTCATAGAAATGAAGGTATGAGGCAGACATATTCTTTCTATAGGCGTGCAAAATCCAAAACTTAAAATGAAGTTTAAAATTACTTGAGTACTATAAAGCTGTAAGGCATGTAAAAACAATTCAATTCTTTCATAAAAAGAAAATTACAGTCGTGGACATCTAAATCTCATAAACATCATCAAATTGCTTACCAAAATGTAACGAGGGAAGAAGAGTTAAAATAAATCAATATTGTCATTTGCGTTTATCTATAAATTAGATCAAATCTCGAGGCCTCAAAGACCAATTTTTAGAAGAATGTTTCAGCTATATATAACTTTAGTAGTTAAGTCGCATTTGAGTCCATCATTTTCTCTCATTGAAGCAAGAATATTGGTGCACCAAAATGAAAAAGGTTCTCCGAAATAAAAGGTAAAGAGATAGTTTGACAAATACTAAGATTGGAAATTGTAACGAGTTACGGAAAACGCTACTGTTAGAGCCAAACCTATTATCAATGTGGCGGCTGAAGACAATAACATCTGCACCAAGTCTCATTGTACTAGTCTTGAAGCCGTTTCCATCTGGAAGAATTCTCCATTAAAAACTTGAATAAGATAGTTGGACAAACTTAAAAAAAAAAAAAAAAAAAGAATCTGTACATCGTCCAATAGCTGTTTTTGCTTTCTTATCTGTAAATCCAAAACTCATACAACGCCGCATCGCCTCCGGGCTCATCCCACCACCATCATCTAGCCATAACGTACATCAAGTGTAAAGATTTCCATGTATAAACATTAAAGTGACTACTCAAAACCACACTTTATTGATGCAAGAAGCCGCAGGTACACAATACCTTTAATTAACAACGCTGAACTTCCATCTCTTGGGTTTGAGATTTTATCAATAGCGACAAAAGTAGCCCCGTTTTGGATCTATCAAAATTTTAAAACAAAAAGGGAAACGAGTGAAACTCTGATGCAGTATTGCTTATAGACTATAAATAAGGCTTTGTGCTTATAATTTCATACGAGTCTTTTCCATTAAAAAAATATAGAAAATGTTTTTCCTTATCCTGGCTTCTTCTGAGTCAAAATCCATTTCAAGCAATTACAATCAAGAATGACAGTCTTAATACACTAATAATACGGGTAATATTACGACTTCCACCCTTTTGGTAATCATACTTGTTTCTTATCGAAATCGATTTGACCAGCCTAACACAAGTACTAAATCAGTTGCCTTTGGGTTAATGTACTTAACTAGAGAATTGACTTAATCTTTTGATACAAGAAGGGATTGAACCCGCAACCTTTCCCCCAAATCCCACCCGAACACCACAGTGCCACTAGACCAAGAGGTCTTAGGCATAGAGAATTGACTTAATTTATGAGATCATCTGTGCGCGTGTTCTATTGGATACTAAATAAATAGGTCAGTCTAAACACAACCCTTCAATACCAATTGCCAGCCCCAAAATTGGTAAGTTGACAACAATTTAAGGCACATATATTTGGTCAAAACTTTTAGGCAATGTTTTGATGGAGGGAATGAAAATAGGAAGAAAAGAAAAGACATAAAACCGAAGTGAGGAAAATAGAGAGAAAGGGGGGACTTTTCACTTATTTCGTTCGGTATGTATTTGGAGAAATTAAGGGGGTTCTTTGAAGGATTTGAAATCCTTGACCAAATCCATTGTATACAGTACACCGACAACAAAGAGAACCAAAAATGGGGAAAGTCCCATAAAAGACACACTTCTCCCAACCAGTCCCTCACCAATGTTTTGATTAAGGTTTTCACAATAAGAATGAATGAAGCTTACCTCATCAACCGCATTGTCAAGCAGTTCTGCAATGGCTGAAAACGAGAAGACAACTCTGAGTGAAGATGGCAAAGAGCATAAACTACATAAAATTTTATTTAAGGATGAAAGCAAAATGAGCCCATTGATAATTCATTTACTGAACCTACCACCAAAGGCCCACTTATGTGAGGTAGCATTGGAATGAAGGAACAAGGGGTGGACATGTAGATAGTTTTTGCCATCTGCGATCCACAAAGTAAATGTCAAACATACACGTAAAGCATTAACAATCATGTAAAACAAAAAATTCTGGTACTACGTTTGAAAAGCCTCAATCATAAGTATCACATTACAAGAGAAATATCAAACTGAATAAGTCATGACAGAAATGAATTGGAATTAAAAGCTGCTCAACAATCCATTTGTTATTCAGAGCCACCTAAGTAGATGACCATTTTTCGTGGAAAAAAAAAAGAAAAAAAAAAGAAGATGACCATTTTTCTTAAGGTAATTTTCACATTTGACCCAATTCAAAAGAACAACAATAAGAGTCGTTTTTTTCTCGTCTTTCTTCTCTTTTGTTATTTCTTATGGATAACTAAGAGAAATCTGATCCTGGCTTAGTGGGCACTAAAAAATTGTGACCTTTTACTTATAAGCTTACAAATGCGCAAAAAAAATTAAACTCCCGAATTCCCCTAGAACTTGGCTCAATTTTCTTGGGGAAAATTTGAAAGATTATTTTCCTACTTAGTAGATTTAAGGATGAGCTGTAAAATAACTATACAGAGGACAGCCAATCCTTAAATCTACTTCTAGCCCATCCTTTCATCTACTTCTGTTTAGTCTTGCCTTCTTTTTTTTTTTCTTCTCTCTCTTTTTTCTTTTTTCTTTTTTTCAATAAGGAGATGCAAGATTTGAACTTAGGACCTCAATATTGAAGGTTAGTGTGATTAGCAATCAGGCTAAACCTATGAACACTTCACCGAACTTTAAGAATATCCACTATCTTCCATTCTTTCATATGGTCCATACTCAAACCTACCCGTCCTTCCCTAATGCCAGAGAAAACATAAATTTGTTACATGTATCCATAAAATAGGATAATTATATCCATGGAAATTTCAATTTATTCCAACACTAAGCTAGGTTTAGTGACACTATGTGCAACTCAGGAATTAAAATGAGATTTAGGTGAAAGTTCAAGAGGTGACTTGTGACAATAAAATGAGTGAAGCTAACAAGATATATTGTCTATCAGATATTCAAGAAAGAATATAAGAATAATAACAAATACTTTCCCTATGTTTAATCAAAATGCAAGATTCTACCCAATATTTTAAAAAATAATGAGTATCTCTTATATTTTCCTACTGACACAAAATCCACCCTTGAATTTTTCTAAACACACAAAATCCACCTGCGATGTAAATTTAGTCAAAATTAACTACACAAAAGACATTGTAACGTTAAAAAAAAAGATGATTCCCTAAGTTAACAACTGTACCTTCATGTTTGACTTTTTCTAGCATTTCAGAATAATCAACTTTGATTATTTTGGAAGTTTTGAATTCTTTTCATAATCGACAAAATTGTTGCCCTTAAAAATCAAAATGCGCCATTTCTCTTATAGGGGTTAAATAGTCTTTTCATATAGTTAATTTTGACTAAATCTAGTGTAAAGGTAGATTTTCTATGATTAGAAAAACACAAGGATAAATTTGTGTGCTTAGAGAAACATAAGGATTAATCCCGATGCTTTTGAAAACATAACGAACTCATGCATTTCCATTATTAACAAAGGGAAGGTTATTGTAGAGTTGATCTCTTTTATGCCCTGAACTTTAGGATCATTTTTAATTTGACTACCAGCTTTAAAAACTCACTTCGCCCCATGAATTTTGAATTAGCACTACTTAACCCCCTTTGTTATAATTTCTGTTAAAAGACAAAAACAAAAAAAGAGGGGGTTAAGTGTAGACGTGATCTTTTTTTATTTGTTTTTAACAAAAAATCTAACAAAAAGACCACGTGATCATACTACACCCTTTTTCGAGACTATTTTAAACTAAAATCTAACATAGGGGGTCAAATGAGAAGAATTTAAAATTTAAGAGGCAAAGTGGGAATGACTCTAAAGTTCGAAAGGCACTAGTGAGATTTATCCTTTCTGTTATTATCTGAAGATAACGCATTTCATCGAAGAAAAATTCAATAGTAGATAGAGGAATACTTTGATGTGCGACTTTAGACACGAGACGATCATCGTAGTTCCCAGCTTTCCAAAAGTGTCGACAAAGCGGAGCTGGAGATGCAAATAATGTTGAAGAAAGGCTCGCGTCATCCATTGTAGATTGCACTTGATCCAATACACAAGAGCTACTATGTGCGGTACTTGAAGCATTTAAGCTCCTATTTTCTTGATAATCTTGTCTTGTAGATATAGTTTTGGAAATTTGATTCTTGGCTAGTTGGACCTTACTATTCGCCTTTTGTTGAGTCATACTCCCAATGGAATCTGGCTCTAACTTAACAGCTTTTACATCCAACTCTTCTAGCTCGTCATCACTAGATAGGTCCACAACATCTATTAAGGTCATCCTGAGTGCTATAGAAGAAATTAATCACGATTGAGGAAAAATGTTGAATGAAGAAAGGGCATAAAGCACTTTCAAGAAAGGAAAACATCGACACGCATATAAGAATTCATGACTTAGGGCAAATCAATATGCAAAATAAATATATTTTCTATTGCAAATCCTCAAAATCTTTATATTATTATCTGCTAAATATAATTACTTTGACAACTATCGCGAAAAATCTATCATAGATAGACTTCCACTTTCCATCAAGAACCACATTTACAACATCTTGTGTGCCAAAAAAAAAAAAACGTTAAGATCAAGGGCGATGTAGCTTTTAAGATTAAAATGATACTAGGATGTATGAACAAAATTGTGGTTTGTGAAAATCAAATTTTGGGACAAATAATTTGGAATATTCTAAAAATTCAAAAAATCACAATAAAAAGCATAATTTGAAACGCAAGACATGGATTACTTCATAAAATATTACAATTATGGAATAGTAAGGTCAAAATCAATTTTTACCAAATAGTAATCCCATCATTCATAACCTAATCCCATCCATCACAAGTGATTTTATGAGGTGGTAAGGTTGTCTATTATCCTAGACCAAGCTTTGGGATTAGGTTATGAATGATGGGATTACTATTAAAGATAAACAAAGCTTTTCTTAGAATGATGGGATAAGGTTGTCTATATTTTACCAAATAGTAATCCCATCATTCATAACCTAATCCCATCCATCACAAGTGAATTTATGAGGTGGTAAGGTTGTCTATTATCCTAGACCAAGCTTTGGGATTAGGTTATGAATGATGGGATTACCATTAAAGATAAACAAAGCTTTTCTTAGAATGATGGGATAAGGTTGTCTATTATCCTAGACCATGCTTTTCTTTGCATTTTTAATGGGTTCAATCTATCCACTTCAAGAAAGATTTGTCTTGCAAGGTGTCTTGCCTTCCCGAGTTTCTCCAAATACGATGTTCCCTCATAAACTCTCTTCAAAAAATAAAGAAAAGATAAACAAAGCTATTTCAATCTCTAACCTCATTAAAAATGCAATATAAGATATTAAAAGCTTTGAATTAACTCATCAATTAGGATTAACTCTATTTCTTTCAATGGAAATAATTCTTCCCATAAAGTTATTGCATTTTCCAATCCTTGCATAGAAAAAAATTCTTTAACATTGAAAAAACTAACCGAAACCACTTAATTGACACAAGTTCAAAACTAAGACCTTGTCAAACGCTTAAGTCTTTAGAAATCCGTAGTCATAGTTACTAACCAATTGGTTGCATTAAAATTGAACCTTAATACCATTTGGGAGCAAACTACATCCTTCACCACTTAGCTTCTCAAATTGCGCAAGAGCACATAATAGTAATAACCACCATTAATTTTCTATCCATTCCTAAGCCAAGCTACAATGCAAACACCCCACTTAATGATGACTAAAATCTCCCCCAAAACGTTCTTGTCAAACAAATTCCCCTAATCATGAACTTGTTATTGAAAATTTTGAACACCAACAAATTAGCAATTGACCATCACAAATTCCCATTAATTGATAACCCAAACCTATCCAAGATATTGAAAAAGAAAAATACAACCATTCCTTAAAGATACTAACCAAAAGATACATAATCGTCACTTGGCCCTATTGTAATGAGAGTGAGAATAAATGCATGCCAGTCACAACATATTATCATATTACGCAACCCCCAAACATGCATGAAACATCCATTATCCATGCTTTTCACTTTTACACCAATCTCCATAGACATATAGTTAATCCCATCATGAAAAAAAATAATGACCATTAACTAACTTGCATTGTTTGGCGTCAATCCTAACAAAAGTAGGGATCACAATGACATCATTAGATAGTAAATAATTTTGGGGCCAATTTTGTGACCTTTTTGGCAAACCAACAATCATTCATTCAGGCTTTTATCATTATAAGATTCACATGATGATGATGATCACAATGATGTTGATAATTAGGAACATCATCGAAGAGCCGAAAAAGACTCATCCATATCAATCAAGAACTTATCAAGAATCATATTGATGCACTTCAAGATTCAAAATGAGTGAAGAGGATAAACAAGGTCTCAAACTTTGTGCCCACGAGTGCAACCACAAAGATAGGCAAGCGAACAAGCAACATACAGTTTCAACCAATATGCAGGTTCAACGCATTACCTTCAAAATTTGATCTTGACAATGAATTAGAGATGAAAAGAGGCAACTTTTTCCAAGATTCAAGAACATGAACGTGGACGTTTGGTTCATAAGTTCAGAACCATGATTCAGAACCATTCTCGATTTACGTGTGCTTTTTGTGAGAGAAAACACTGTAGTGAGCCACGAACTATGATCCGAACCATGGCACGAATCCTTGCTCCAAACGCAGCATAAATTCTTCCAACTACATGAACCACTTGAAATGGGAAAGGGGAAAATAAGAAGGCCTATAAATACAATTGTGCAGACTACGTCTAACGTCGAGTTCACGTGGAGATAGGGGCGGTGGTGTTGTACGAGTGCATGATCCGAACCATGGCACGAATCCTTGCTCCAAACGCAGCATAAATTCTTCCAACTACATGAACCACTTGAAATGGGAAAGGAGAAAATAAGAAGGCCTATAAATACAATTGTGCAGACTATGTCTAACGTCGAGTTCACGTGGAGATAGGGGCGGTGGTGTTGTACGAGTGTGAGAAAGAGAGAGAGAGACGAGAGGCAAGTTTTAAGTTGGGGTGGTTTAAACCTTCTAAGGCTCCGTTTAGTTCGTAAATTTGTACAGATTTGAACTATTAAATATGAATAATGATTTAAATTGCAATTCGAATTAACGTTTGCATATGCAGTTGACGTGTAAAATCTAAACTAGGAACATAAATTTGAATATGTGTTGAAAACATGGGTTTGAGAAAAAAAAAATGTGTATATAACAAATTGGTCCATGTTAGGTGAATTTAGGGGAGGTGAATTCTAAGATGGCCATTTTGAGCTGATTCAAACAGCAAAATCCAAATAAAGTTACCTAAAGTAACCTACCAAATAGCAATTCAGATTGGGGTCCATCGCGTGCAAGAATCTGCTAGACACTACGGAGTTTAGGGAAAAGGTTTTAATTGTCACTGTTTAAAGAGTTTAGCGGTTGTTTCATCAAGATTTCAAGAATCTATTAGAAACTTGAAGAAAACGTTTTAAATGTTTAAAGAGTTTAAGGGTTGTTTCATCAAGACTAAGGAGACGTTATATTCATGGATTAGAATCATGTGATTAGAACCATTTTCGATTTACGTGTATTTTTTGTGAGAGAAAACACTGTAGTGAACCATGAACTATGATTTAAATCATAGTTTGAATCCTCCAACCAAACATCCCCTAAAAGAACAGGTACCAAACCGTTAACTGCTAAATGGCTCAGGAACCATATGTGCTAATTTACTCTTTAAGAATTAAAGTCATGTATAATTGTTATGCATAAAGTATTTGAAACCCCTTTAGGCAAAACCTTTTTTCATTTGATCCGTTTTCTCTAATAATCCAAAGAAAAGCCAACCTACCGAAAACAACTACTTTACGGGAGCATTACTAATCAGTAATTGAAAGAATAGAAAATAAATTCCAAGAAAAAGTGAATTAAGGTCCAGGAAATTAAGTTCTAGAATTCCATTAATGTGTTTACTAATCTATAGGGAATTAAATTACATGAAGAAATAAATTCCTACATGTTGTTTACTTTGTTAAAAAGTTAGAGGGAATATGAATAGAATAAGTGCAGTTACAAAACTGCCCTTATATGAAGTAACTAATTAAATTAAAGTAAGGGTACATTAGTAAATAAATTTAGAACCAATTTGACAGTGTACGCGAGAACGTCAATATTACGTCTTAATGAGTCAGCTATTAGTCAAAACTAGTCCAATTATTAAAAGAAAAATGAGTTAGAAGGTGGAAATCAAATAACCAACCCATGCCTATTAAAAAATAAGAAAAAGAGAGAGAGAGAGAGAAAGAAATTTGAAATTGAATTCCCAATCCGACTAGTGGCGGAGCCACTTTTAATTTCACTGGGGTTAAGAGTACAAATTTTTTAAAAATAAAATAAAATAAAAGATGTATTAAAAATTGTATTATAATATTTTTCAAAAACTATTAGATACATATGGAGAATTTTACACCTTAAAGGTTAGATTTTTTTTTTTTTTGGCTAAAAGAATTGTTTGTTTTGTATACTTCCTTTTATTTTTTTTTATTTTAATATGATTTTGATAAGATTAACGTTCAAAATTGTACACTATCGATAAGGATACTAAAAACAATCAATTTAACCACAAACTAATTAATCCAAATGCTCTTAATAAAATAAAAGAATTAGGAAAAAAATTGCAAATGTTTAGAATATTTAGGGTTTGTTTGTTTTAAAGGTCTTGTATGGTCTTACTACAGTGTTTTCCTCCCACTTAAATTTCAAAAGTCAGAATCATGAACTATGCTTTGAACTCAAACTCAAGAACTAAGGGGATGTTTGGTTGGAGGATTCAAACCATGATTTGAATCATAGTTCATGATTCGCTATAGTGTTTTCTCTCACAAAAAATACACGTAAATCAAAAATGATTTTAATAACATGATTCTAATCCATGAACTAAATGTCTCCTAAACAAACTCTCAGGTATTTTTCGTAGTCAAAATCAAGCTCATTCCAAAGAAGGGCAAGGATTTAACATAAACTTGAAATGTGATAATATAAAAGTGATGTAGTCCAGCATATAAGGTAAAAATCAGTGGAGACATATATGAAAAGATTAAATTTAAATAGGGGTTAAATAAAAAGCTTAAAATTTTTTATTCAACTTTTAATTTTTAAAAGTGAGTGGGGTGGCCCCCACTCGGCACTATATACCTTCAGCACAATATACCTCCGGCACAATATACCTCCGCCATTGAATCCGACAATGGGTGTATATATAATGTTACAATTTGAGCACCAATGCTAATTCACAAGAATCGTAGAAAGGAAGATTGCAGTTTTGTCATATCGAAAATAATGAAAGAAAAAAGAAAACAAAGATAAACAGAAAACAGTATAACTTCAGTACTCACAGAGAAAAACCCACGAGCATTGAAAAAAATTTCAAAGGAGCCCTAAAAAGAAATCAGTTTATAATGCAATAATAAATTGGCAGCTATTTTACCTCTACAAATGCGAGCAATTCCAGGGAAACTTCTCAGCACTTTGTCTGCACGAGATCTAGCCCCACTTTGAAACCAAAAACGCTAAAATCCCATAAAACCCCAGATTATGACTTTCAACAAATATTCTGGATTCTTCAAACAAATACCAGTCAAAAACCCACAAAGAACTTTTTTACTTTTTTTTTTTTTTTTTTCTCTCTCATCAATTTTCTCACCCTTTTCCCTTTGGACTTTGCTAAAACCTTAATCAAGGCTTCAAAAGGAGAGAGAGAGAGAGGAGGCTAGAAGTAGCTTACAATGAGATGAAGTTGAGCTTTTATAGTGTCAGCGGAAGTGACAGGCGAATATTCATTTTAACTTTTAAAGCAGTGACGTCCGGTTACATGGAATTGGTCCACGTAATTAATTATTAATTTTGTAATCTCATATTGAAATTAATTATTAAAGTGTGTTTATTAATCAAAAATATAAATTTAGAAAAGCCAATTTACTTCTTCATTTTAAATTTAGTAAAATCATTTGATATTTTTTGTTATAGCAAAATATTTTAAAAGTATTTAGTGCTTTAAAAAGTATGTTTTTATCTTTAAAAAAAATATTTTTTAATTCTTTTTGAGACATAAAATATCATTCTATTCTTTTATTTATTTAATTAAAAACTAAAATGTTTTAAAACTTTACAAAAGAAATATTTAAAAAAATACAAAATAGAATTTGCAAATCTTAAACTCATAGCAAAAAAAAAATGTAAATTTTTTATGCATTTTAAATTCTTTTATTATTTTTAAAAATGGATGAGAAGTAAGCAGTAATTTTCTTTCCCATCTAATAATGTGTTTACTTACAAAATTAGTAAATCATTGCATTTCCTTGGTATTGCTTCCTTTTAAAAATGATTATTTAATGAGAAAATTGTGTAATATACCTCCAGATCACATAGATTATAATTTCTACCCTTTTAAAAAAGACTACCCCTCTAATTTTTTTTAATATTTTAAAGAGGATTTAAAAGTCTAAAATGCCCTTTTATCTCTCTAAAACAACAAACCTTAATCTTTGTTTCAGATCAACACCTGTCTCTCTACCTTCGTTACTTCTCTCTCACCTCATCTTTCTCTCCTTTTTCCTTCTCCTACAGCCGACGCTCGTATCCACCGTCAATCCTACCGCCGCCAGATCTTGCTCCTCACGCAAGTCTATCTCATTTCTCTGCATCTATATATGACTTCGTCGATGCGAGACATTGCCAGATCTTCGATCTTTTCCTCCGGTCATCTCTTTCGCCTCTTTTTGTCGTGCTTTCTCTATTCGTCGAGCCCCTATATCTTCGATGCACCTCTAGTTTGTCGTTGCAGTCTTGTCCTCATTTCGTTGGGGCATGTTCTCTCTCTTCGTTGGTGCGAGGAAAGCTCTTCGAAGTAGGCCCCGTCACCAAATCTACTCAGATCCGGCGAGATCTGTCCTAAACGCGAAGAACGGCGTCGATCTCTTGCGGAGGTCCTTGGCATTTCTACAATAGTTTATTGTCAAAAACAAACAATAACAAGTAAAAGATACGTGATTTTTTTTTTCTCGGTGTAACTATAGTATGTATACATCTTGTAAGCTTTAGGAAGATTACATAATTTGTAGCTTCTCAATTTTTATAGCCTACCAATATCTTGGATTAAATGAATCGTTGTTGATTACTTCAGTTTACTGTGCAACAATCTAAGGCTTATGCAAGAAAATAAATTATTTTGTTCTTAGTACTCCTTTATTGTTTAGAGAAGACACTTTAGACCTTAGCATATGGATGATTATATCTTTTTAGATGTTGTCACATGAATTGCAGTTACGCTTGAAAACGTTAAATTCCAGCATGGGAAGATTTTGAGAAGATTAAGTTTTTGATCCATGGGAAGATTTTGATGTGTTATTTTTGTACTAATTTTTCTCAATTTTATTGTTCAATATTTGTTTTGTGTTTGGATTATTCTATTTCATTATTGTTGCCTTCAATATGGTGATATTTGATTCAAAAAACAAAATAATCTCACAGATTATGGTTCATAATATATTAGATTATGGATAATAATTTGACAGGTTATGACCAGAGCTAGCAATCGGCGGCCGGCTGCCGATGTAATCTAGTAGATTATGGATCATAACTTGGGAGGTTTTGAGCAATAACCTGTCGAGCTATAACTGGTAGCCAGTGTAATTTATCAGATTATGGATCATAAATTGACATATTATGGGTCATAACCTGTCACACTATAGATCATAACCTAATAGATTATGACCGACGCCAACAATCGGTTGTAGGCTGCCGGTGTAATCTAACAAATTATAGATCATAATTTGTTAGATTATAGGTTATAACTTGTTAAACTATGGATCATAACCTGACATATCATGAACAGCGCCAAAGACTTACTGGCAATCGGAGCTCCGCCAATCGGTGACTGGCGTAATCTGTCAGGTTATGGATCATAACCAGATAGACTATGATAAGCGCCGGTGTAATCTATCAGGTTATGGACATAACCCGATAGATTATGGACAACGACACGTGTAATCTGTCAGGTTATGGATCATAACCTATCAGGTTATAGCCGGTGGCCGGTCGGAGACCCACCAGCGACTGATGTAATTTGTTAGGTTATGGCCGGCAGTTGGACGAAGACCCGTTAGCAGCCAGTCGGCGATGAGAGAACGCCGTCATATCTTATATTTACTAATGGACTATTGAAAGTAACTTTAAAATTTTAAAAATATTTAATTAAACTATTTTTATTATTTTAATTGTAAAAGGGTAGATAGAAATCAATGGGCTAATCTTTAAGGTTAGAAATTATTTGGGGTACTAATTTGAAGGTATTTCTTATTTTTTTCTCTTATTTAATTGTATAAAAGAACATTTTAGTAATTATTGTTATTCCTAATATTCAACACTAGAAAGGGAACGAAGTTTTACAACACCATCTAATATTTAAGTAAAAACTTAAATGAGAATCAATGATCCTTATTCTTATTACTTTACTTTCCTTTCAAATTTCATTATCTTTTCTATTATATTGTTTTACAGTTTGGTAAACTCACTCTTAATTTCTTTTATAACATGATTCATTGATAGATGGGTAAGCATTTGAATAAATTTTTTTTTACCTTAATTCATTTTTAATTTATTTCCTATTTTTTAATTCTTGATTAGTAAACGTGTCTTAAAATTAGAATCACTAGACTTTTTTTTTTTTTTCTAATACCAGCACACACAACATCATATTATATTTTCATGAAAATTTTACACAACTTGATATATTCTCAATGATGGTTTCTTAATTTGACGGTTTTCATCAAAATCACAAAAATAACTTTTTTAAAAAAAATTTCTCTATATGAGATTATGAGTGTCTTTCTTTCTTTGTTTCTTTTTTTTTCTTTTCCTTTCAATTGAGTTTTTCTATAGGAAGATAAGATTTTCACATAAACTCTTTCTATTTTTTTTTAACGTGTTTTCTAATTCAGTTTTTTCACAATTAATGTTTATCAATTTCTCACTTTGAATTTTGAATATAACTGTTGTTGTGTGCACAACTTTGAAAAACTTCGCTTTTGGTTTTATAGATTTTGTTAAGGAAAAATATTATTCTTATCAAGGAAAGTTGACTTTTGGATATAGCTATATAATGAATTTAGTTACAATTAATTTCAATTTTGAAAATCTCTTAATTTTAGGAGATTTGATAATCTTGGATAAGTTATCTCGTTATGTGCTTGTATTTATTGTAGTAATTAATAGTGCTTCTAACTGATGAATTATTTTATCTTGTTTTAGTCCATGAATATATGCATATTGTTATACTACTTTAAATCTGTGTTATTTTTTTCTTCTTTAATTTTTAGGGGAAAGGCTACAAATATTCTTTCAGAGTGCATTAGTCTAGATTTTACCATTTACTTTTGATTAATATATTTCTAGTCAAATAATTATATTTGTCAAAAAATATTAATTAAAAATAAAAAGTAAAAATCAAGATTCATACACTCTTAAAAGTAAGTTTAATAGTTTTTTTTCTAATTTTTTAAAATGGTATAAAAGCCCAAAAAGCTAAAATGGGCAACATAATAATGGCTCTAGAGAAAAAGGAAAAAAAGTCATCATGACTCATTCTTCTAATATTTAAACAGGTAAGGTCTAATAGACTGACACAAGCACGACACAGTTTGATAATTAAATAGGTCTAGCTTATACCACTTATTAAATAGGTCAAACTTAACGTAATTTTTAGAGATGACACGCTATGACCTGACACGATCATGATAAGGGCCTAAGCCCTAACTAGTGAATATCAAGTATAAGGCTTATAATTGTACTATTTTTTTAAAAATCAAAATGAGGTATTCTTTTTAATTAATGATGCACTTTCTTTTTTTAAGATTTTAATGTTTCATTTGTGTTCAATGCTTATTTTTTATATTTGTTGTATTATATCGAACGACAAACACACATTAAAAGCATAATAAAATAACAACAAAAGCACAAGCACAGTTATGAGCACGAGTATGTTCAAAGCACGTTAAGAGCACAACCTACTGGGCTTGACGTAATAAAAATTAAATAGGTTAGGCCGAACACATACATAATAAATAAATGAACCGGCCCAGACACAAAACAAAACACATATGGGTACAATTTGAACGGGCTGAACTGAGCCGGGCCAACGCAATTGACATCACCTTTCTAACATTCTGCTCTATAATTTTATCATTCCAATGAGCAACACCTTATTCTCTTGATAAGTGTCCTCTTTTCCCTATGTCCATGCGCCATTGAAGATTCCATCCCTACAGCTCTTCTCCGTCGACGAGTCCCTTTCCTATATCTATGCACTCTCAGCGTTTGTCCTCTCTTCCATGTTCTCTTGTGATCTTATGCTTTTATGTTCGTCGCCATGGTAACCAATCCTAGGTCTTGCAAGCATCCAACTTTCCCTCTCCATCTCTCAATTTGACTAATCTTTTTCATCATTTATATAAGTTCCTTCTATTACGGTCCAATATTGAAATGTTCGAAAGGGAAAGTTCACTTTATAATTATGTATATCTATATTTAGCAATAGTTTGAATTTAATTGCATATATTTTCATTTAGGAAATAATTTATATTTGACAGCTTTGGATATCTTATATGTTGACGGTTAATTTTAGTCAACTAAAGATTAACCCTCCGAGAACACTCTCAGTAATCTCACACGGGTTAACAAAGGATTATTGTTGAATGAAAAGA